ATATAGTAAATAAGAAATGTAATTACAGTAATAATAGAACCATACTACCTAATAAAGAATGGTCATAACTGAAGATTTAAACAAAAAAATGTACATGTTTTTCAATTGTCAAAATTGTCCATTTAATTTTGGGAAAGAATAATGGAAAGTTCAATTGCCCAATTAATTTTTTTTTAACGGGGTAATCGGTTCGGGGTGGGGCACCGTCGCTAAATATCATACCCGCCCCACTCGAACCGGGTTATTAAAATCAAAACCATAACAACCCTATTGCACCATCGGTTCAATTTTTTTCGCCCCATTCGGTTCGGTTAATCGCAATTTTCAGTTTTAACATTTCGAATTGCCATCCTTACCCGTCGAGATACAAGCAGCGATGGATTAGGGTTTCAAGAAACAAACAGTGATTTACGAGGTGTTCTGGTGATGAAAAGGATCGCCGACTCGCTTCTCCAAATACTTTGAAGGTAATTTTCGTTTAGGTTATGAATGCAATTTTAAAGATTAATGGTTTCATTTTGTTAGTGGAAATAACTTTTGGTTGATTTTATTTTATAGAATTATTTCGTAAACTGGTTGTTTTTATTAAAAAATTGATAGGGACGAAGCCTAAGCAATTAGAATTTTTAGGGGCATTTGGGATTAACTTTGGCGTCTTCCCCATCTTTGATATGCTAACGTTTCATTGATATTAAAAATTAATTTTATTGAGATTGGATTGAACTTCTAATTTATGTTTCTTTTAATACATTGCCCGTAAATTTCTTAGTTTTTTTTTCAAGCAGAAATGGAAAACAGAAGCTTATTGACTTTATTTCCAGTGTAACTCGGTTGCTCAATAGCTCATTTGACTCTTTGATAAATTACTTCTTTGAAAATAGTGCTTACTTCGTAAGATCGGTGAGAACAATTAAGTGTATCCGTAGTATAAGTAGCTGCACATAGAAAAGAATAGAGACGTAAGTAATGCTGATTTTAGTTGTGTATATCAAGTGTCATCCGATGAACTGCTATTTATATGAGAACAATGAATTGATTAACGAAATTAATCCAAAAAAAGAGGCACATGATATATCTTAAATTGTAGGGACAGGGCCACATTAATGTACTAATTGTTATTCGTATTACTTCACTGCTGCTAATTAATTTTTGTTTCTGGTAATTAGAACGCAAAATTACACATCCATAAACTTGATTTCTATATTTTTATTTGTGCACCTGAAATATTTCATCGCTCTCAAAACTCACAAACTCTAAATATCATAGAGAGAGAGAGAGAGAGCTATGCTTGAGAGCCGTTTTAATAGGGAAGTGATAATGATGTCGAGAGTAAAACACGAAAATCTTGTTAAGGTGAGAGAGATGGATACAATTGCAATTTTTTTTTTCAGTGAACCATGCTACTAAGATTTATTTTGCTCAAGTCAGTATTGAAATAGGTGCTTCAAATTTGTCTATTTGTTAATTCCCAATATTGCATTAAAATGTGCATAGTTTTGACTATTTATTTTTTTTTATTTTGATTGGATGATTATGTAGGAAATGATGAGGAGTACAAAAAGAAGTTAAAGAAAGAAAGTTTGGCATTCTTCTTCTTAGCCACGTAGGTTTCGTGAAGCATTGTTCTTAGTTGCTAAAAATACAACTTCTTACATTTATGGGTGAAAAAAATTATGTGTATACACTCTGTGAAATCAAATAGTCAATGAATTTTTTGTATCCATTTTCTCATTGATTTCCATTGATTGGGTTGGTGGTTTCAGATATGGAGATGGCGAGCCTACCGACAATGCAGCAAGGTTCTATAAGTGGTTTGTAGAGGTAAAGTATAATAATAGGGAATTACCTTCTCCATAGAACTCTGCATTAGATTTGAATTAATTTTTATGTGGTGCAGGGAGAAGCGAGATGATGGGACTGGCTTAAGTCTTAATTATGGAGTATTTGGCCTTGGAAATAGACAATACGAGCATTCTAACAAGGTTTGAGATTGATAGTTAGAAAATATTAATAAAATTCAGTTCTGCAATAGCTTATATCTCTACATCTCAGATTTTATTGATTTTTCCTTTTGTTTTTGTTGTTCGAGGCTTTAAGAGATCGTTCTCAAAATACTACAAATTTTGACAGCCTTTGCAGTTTGCTGAGTTCATGTATGTTGTTTTCATATTCTTCTTTTGTATTTTTTTTTTCATTTTGTTCCAATTCTTTTGAATTTAGAGGGTTTGTTATTTCACTATTTAATTAATGCTTTTCAATCTTAAATTTACATATAATTGATGATGAAATTCACTGTAGAGTCAGTTTGTTTCATAGCATTGTTGAATTGTTTCTATTATTGTTCTCTAGACACGATATTTCTTTTGTACAGTAGGTCTTTGTCGTCGATATATTACAAGTGTTGATCCATCATTGTTGTTAACCAACTCAATGCCTTCTTTGCTGGTACCGATAATGAATTTCTTTCTGCTATACTCTATGTTGCGCAATTATGTAACAATATGGTTGTGTGCATAGCTAATCATGATTGCTTTATACAACCATATATAGTAAAACATCGATAAATAAATGTTCAACAAA